TTGTTGATTCTTCACAAAAAATTACAGTTTTATATCTTTATGTTTGAAGCCTGAAATGTGGCAAAAGGTCGCAAAGTTCAAGGGGGCCGAATACTTTCGCAAGGCACTGTATATACAATGTACAGATTATACAGACTCGTACAGGGGCCCGTTTCAAGAAGGAGGTTTTGTTGAAACTCTTGAGTTTGTTAACCCCGAAATGAGGAAAACTCGGAGTTTTGGGTTCCAGAAATGGAGGTAACTTAAACCCGTGAAAGCGGGGTAAGTTAAACCCATTTCATAAAAGAGAGGTAATCTAAACTCAGAGTCAGTTACTATGGCAACTTACTCTGTGAACCTAACCTGGTTGGGAGCAGGTTTTGTTTGGGAAAACCAGAGTTTCCTCCGGTCTCCGCCCCTTTTTAAAGTGAAAGGTGTTTAAATAGGGAAAATATTTATCTCAGTGAACATTCCTTGTTGTCTGCATTGTTTACTGTCTGTTTATACTGCTTATTCTGCACTGTTTGTTGCTGTCAATGTTGCTGTTAATACTGGTTATTTTGTTATATTGCACAGCCTTATGCTGGTTTACTGTTTGCACATTGAGAGCTGATGTACCTGAGTCAAATTCCTCGTGTGTCCATCACACCTGGCCAATAAAACTGATTCTGATTCTGAAGGTGTGGCTTGTGCTGGTTGTTGTACTGCCACAAAAAATAGGCTCATAAGCTTTAACTTGTGTGTACATTTGTGTGGTAACAGGAGGACCTGTGGCACGCCAAAGCAAGTGATGTACGCTCTCAGCTTCGCTTCCTGGAAGAAGTGGAGAGGCTGAAGAAGAAGAGGAAAGATGAAGAGGACAAAGAGAGACTGCTCCTTTTGGCCAGAGTAAGCTAGGCTACCAGGGTTTATCCACCTGTTTTCTCTTGCGAACAAGGATGTTGTATGTACTCGAATACAAACAGTATAAAAACAAGATTACTATGTTTTTAGGTAAGAAGTTTACTTCTTAAAGGGTTTATATATTTTTATATATACACTATATTGCCAAAAGTATTCGCTCACCTGCCTTCACATGCAAATGAACTTGAGTAACAACTGATTCTTAATCTATAGGATTTAATATGATGTTGGCCCACCCTTTGCAGCTATAGCAGCTTCACCTTTTCTGGGAAGGCTGTCCACAAGACTTAGGATTGTGTTAATTGGAATTTTTGACCATTCTTCCAGAAGCACATTTGTGAGGTCAAACACTGATGCTGGATGAGAAGGCCTGGATCGCAGTCTCCGCTCTAATTCATCCCAAAGGTGTTCTATCAGGGTTGAGGTCAGGCCAGTCAAGTTCTTTCACACCAAACTCACTCATCCATGTCTTTATGGACCTTGCTTTGTGCATTGGTGTGCAGTCATGTTCGAACAGGAACGGGCCATCCCCTAACTGTTCCCACAAAGTTGGGAGTATGAAATTGTCTAAAATGTCTTGGTATGTTGAGGCATTAAGAGTTCCTTTCACTGGAACTAAGGGGCCAAGCCCAGCTCCTGAAAAACAACCCCACATCATAATCCCCCCTCCACCAAACTTTACACTTGGCACAATGCAGCCAGACAAGTACAAGGCTTGGATGCAGCTGCTTGACCATGGAACCCCATTCCATGAAGCTCTCTTCACACTGTTCTTGAGCTAATCTGAAGGCCACATGAAGTTTGGAGGTCTATAGCTATTGACTCTGCAGGAAGTTGGCAACCTCTGTGCACTATGCATCTCAGCATCCGCTGACCCCGCTCTGTGATTTTGCATGGCCTACCACTATAGTTGTTTTTGGCAGCCTGTTTTAATTTTAATTTTAGTCTAGTCTTTGTGTGAAGGTGTCATTTTAGTTTTTATTAGTTTGTCACATTCATGCTCTTTTTAGTTTAGTCAAGTTTCAGTCAAATACAAGTCTGAGCATTTTAGTCTTATTTTAGTCAGAATTATCCATGACTATTTTCATCTATTTTTAGTTGACGAAAACTCATGACACTTTAGTCTAGTTTTAGTCAATGAAAATTGTATTTTAGTCTCTTTTTAGTAATGCAATTCTATTTAACCCAGTCAATAGAGTATAAGTACCTAGTAGTTCCGGTTCGGCACTATGGACCGGTCGTCTGGAGAGTTTAGCAGGCTCACGAGGTCATGGCACCATTTTGAAGTCTTCCGGTTTTTGTACCATGCTAACTCTGAGAGACGAGGCAGTCCAAGTAGCTTCAATACAGTGCTGATTTATTCAAACACAGGTAAAAATTAACATTACACGCTCGGGTATCTTGCACCCCCCAACATGCACGCAGGCAGCTGAAGGATGAAAGACCCTGAACCACAACAGGCCTATACATTTATCTCTTCGGTTTGGCTAGCCCCATTCTACACAGGAACGTCAACCGTGACGTGTCCCTGGTGCCAGCTATGCAGCTAACCATAGCAGTAGTCAAAACATGAAGAAAATCAATGTGTGTGTGTCTGTTGATTGTGGTGTGTATCTAAAAACATTCTGACATGACATCTAGTGACATGTCATGACATTAAACATAAGAAAATATTATGATTACGATTACGGTTAAACACATCATAATAATAATAATAATAATCATCCTGTCTTCTAACAGTCAAACTTTCTATCTAGTTATCATTGACCATATGCAACCTGCAAAAACACATGAGCATGACTAAGCATTTAACAGCCTACCTAGACATCCTAACTCCACTAAACATTTCTAATACATAAAGTACCTAACCAATGTCTATCTGACTAAAAATACCTAAAGACGAAACCAAAATTTTCTTTGAGCCAAACCCATATCTTATTATATTATTGTTACCTTATAGACTCCAGAGTACATCCAATACACATTTTGTGTGATTTTGTGGCCGCATTTCTCATCTTTTTCCAAAACACATTCAGTATTCTTTTCCACTTGTATGTAATGAAAGTTTTTCGAAATGTCGTTTCTTCTTTTTCCCCCAAAGATGAACCCCTGCTGGCCGGCCATCGGTCCCTTTCTCTGCGTCAAACTTAACTTTGTCTGTTGACGTCTTCTAAATAATGCCGTGAGTGGGGCTTAAGGAAGTGATGTCGCCTGGGTCTGGCAGTGCGGCCTGATGCGGCCCTTGAAGCGAGACACAGGAAACAGAAATACTGCAAAATAACAATAATAACGCGACTAAACGAGACGAAATAACGTTATAACATTTCGTTTCGTCTTGTTTTGGTCAACGAAAATGAAGAGACATTTTAGCATAGTTTTTATTTTGTAAACCACATTTAGTCTCGTTTTTTTTTTTTTTCAACAATATTGCATTATACATTTAATTATAGTCATCGTCACACGACCAGCATTTTCATTACGTCTCGTCTCATTTTCGTCACGTGATCAAGGTTCGTTGACGATGATATTTAGTCATAATTTTCGTTGACAAAAGCAACACTACCTACCACTTTGTGGTTGGGTTGCTGTCATTCCCAGTCGCTTCCACTTTGTTATAATACCACTGACAGTTGACTGTGGAATATTTAGTAGTGAGGAAATTTCATGACTGGACTTATTGCACAGGTGGCATCCTATCACGGTACCACGCTGGAGTTCACTGAGCTCCTGAGAGCAACCCATTCTTTCACAAATGTTTGTAGAAGTGGTCTGCATGCCTAGGTGCTTGATTATATACACACACCAGTAACCATGGAAGTGATTGGAACACCTGAATTCAATGATTTGGATGGGTGAGTGAATACTTTTGTCCATATATATATA